AGCCCTGTGTCCCCTGAATAAAATGATATATAATAAGTGTGGGTGCACATAATATGAAAGAGGCGAATTACGCCTGAACAGACCTAAAGCGCAAATTCCAGTTTTTGTTTACGTTTTGTTTTGATCACAACTTGTACATTTGGCCCAGTCAGTTTACCGTTCTGTAGGAACTGCAATGTTTTCATTGCAGGGTTAACATGTTTCTAGTGGCTCAGGTCCTGACAGTCACTAGAAGAGCTTCCACCCCAATAGCCGACCATTTGATTGGCGCAGCGCAGCATTTTGCAACACATTCTATTGTTCTCACCGCCTGCCACTGCCATGCTGAGTTGGAGTGTGCTATCCTTACTGGCTTGCACTACCATACTAAGTGGGCGTGTACATTCTTTCATGACTGGCACTGCCATGCCAATTGGGCATGTCCTATCTTTAATAACTGGCATTGCAATGCTGAGATGGCGAGTCTTATACTCTGACTGGCACTGCCATGCTGAGTGGGCATGTCCTATCCTCACTGACTGACACTGCCATGCCGAGTGAGCGTGTCCCATCCTCACTGACTGGCACTGCCATGCCGAGTGGGGTCACTGACTGGCACTGCCATGCCGAGTGGGCATGTCCTATCCTCACTGACTGGCACTGCCATGTCGAGTGGGCGTGTCCTATCCTCACTGACTGGCACTGCCATGCTGAGTGGGCGTGTCCTATCCTCACTGACTGGCACTGCCATGCCGAGTGGGCATGTCCTATCCTCACTGACTGACACTGCCATGCCGAGTGAGCGTGTCCCATCCTCACTGACTGGCACTGCCATGCCGAGTGGGGTCACTGACTGGCACTGCCATGCCGAGTGGGCATGTCCTATCCTCACTGACTGGCACTGCCATGCCGAGTGGGCGTGTCCTATCCTCACTGACTGGCACTGCCATGCCGAGTGGGGTCACTGACTGGCACTGCCATGCCGAGTGGGCATGTCCTATCCTCACTGACTGGCACTGCCATGCCGAGTGGGCGTGTCCTATCCTCACTGACTGGCACTGCCATGCTGAGTGGGCGTGTCCTATCCTCACTGACTGGCACTGCCATGCCGAGTGGGCGTGTCCTATCCTCACTGACTGGCACTGCCATGCCGAGTGGGGTCACTGACTGGAACTGCCATGCCGAGTGGGCGTGTCCTATCCTCACTGACTGGCACTGCCATGCCGAGTGGGCGTGTCCTATCCTCACTGACTGGCACTGCCATGCCGAGTGGGCGTGTCCTATCATATGACGGTGAGTGGGCGTGTCCTACCCCCAGTGTAGCTCACTGTAGACATAGTGTCTGCCTGCTGGGGGCGGTGACAGTTCAGTCTGCGGGTTGCCTGGGGATGACGTCACGCCGGGGGCGGGCTCTGGAAGGTGGCTGAGCTCTGCGCATGCGCGATGGGCGCCGTTGTGCCGTCCAGACAAGATGGCGGCTGCGGTGCTGTCCTGATAACCAGCTCGGAGACGGTAAGTGATCTTTACATTGGGGGGGGGGGGACAACAAAACCTGTACTGAGCAGCCCCCATACAGATACACAGACTGTACCAGGAGCCCCCATACAGATACACAGACTGTACCAGGAGCAGCCCCCATACAGATACACAGACTGTACCAGGAGCAGCCCCCATTCAGATACACAGACTGTACCAGGAGCAGCCCCCATACAGATACACAGACTGGACCAGGAGCAGCCCCCATACAGATACACAGACTGTACCAGGAGCAGCCCCCATACAGATACACAGATCAAAATTAGAGCAGCCCCCTATATTGTATACATTAGACTGTACCTAGGAGCAGCCCCTATACAGATACAATAGACTGTACCCATGAGCAGCCCCACAGACACATACCACTATGTTAGCCCCCCATACAGATACACAGTAGACTGTACCCAGGAGCAGCCCTCATACAGATACACACTGTACCCATGAGCAGCCCCCATACAGATACACAGACTGTACCAGGAGCAGCCCCCATACAGATATACACAGATGTTCAAAATTGGTGAGCAGCCCCCCATACAGATACACAGACTGCACAAGCACAGCCCCTACAGATACACAGATCAGTGTGCCTCAAGAGCAGCCCCCTATACAGATACACACAGACTGTACCCAGGAGCAGCCCCCATACAGATACACAGACTGGACCAGGAGCAGCCCCCATACAGATACACAGACTGGACCAGGAGCAGCCCCCATACAGATACACAGACTGTACCAGGAGCAGCCCCCATACAGATACACAGACTGTACCAGGAGCAGCCCCCATGACCAGAGCAGCCCCCATACAGATACACAGACTGTACCAGGAGCAGCCCCCATACAGATACACAGACTGTACCAAGAGCAGCCCCCATACAGATACACAGACTGTACCAAGAGCAGCCCCCATACAGATACACAGACTGTACCAGGAGCAGCCCCCATACAGATACACAGACTGTACCAGGAGCAGCCCCCATACAGATACACAGACTGTACCAGGAGCAGCCCCCATACAGATACACAGACTGTACCAGGAGCAGCCCCCATACAGATACACAGACTGTACCAGGAGCAGCCCCCATACAGATACACAGACTGGACCAGGAGCAGCCCCCATACAGATACACAGACTGGACCAGGAGCAGCCCCATACAGATACACAGACTGGACCAGGAGCCCCCATACAGATACACAGACTGTACCAGGAGCAGCCCCCATACAGATACACAGACTGTACCAGGAGCAGCCCCCATACAGATACACAGACTGGACCAGGAGCAGCCCCCATACAGATACACAGACTGGACCAGGAGCAGCCCCCATACAGATACACAGACTGGACCAGGAGCAGCCCCCATACAGATACACAGACTGGACCAGGAGCAGCCCCCATACAGATACACAGACTGGACCAGGAGCCCAGATACACAGACTGGCAGAGCTTGGTATCACACACTGTACCAGGAACCCAGATACACAGACTGGCAGGGCTTGGTATCACAGACTGTATCAGGAGCCCAGATACACAGACTGGCAGAGCTTGGTATCACAGGCTGGCAGGGCTAGGAGCCACAGGCTGGCAGACATAGGTGCCACAGACTGTACCAGGTGCCCAAATACACAGACTGGCGGAGCTAGGTGCCCAGACTGGCTTGCATGGCTAATTACCGCACACTGGCTGGCCTGGCTAGGTATCACAGAGTGGCAGAGTTTGATACCGCAGACTGGCTGGCAGAACTTGGTGTAATGGGTAATCAGGGGTGTTGAAGAAATACCAAAAGCTGAGACAGAATTGAGAGTATTAGAGGCTGATAGGTAGCAATATTGCTCATCGGCAGGAATGCCATAGATTTTGCTCCATGGTTGAAGTAGTGGCTATACTATGCAGCTAACACTTAGGTGCAATTGATGAGCAAGCCTCCAGACTGTAACTGTACTTTATCTGACAAGTGGGCTGACAATGTTAAAGTAGCATTGCCTGACAATCCTCAATAAGCATTGTTTGCTGGATTAGCCATTAAATGTTTCACTAACTCTAGCATTGTATTAGAAAATGGTATTAACGCAGCCATTGAATGTCAAATTTATTACTAATGCTAAAATGTTATACTCTACTTTTGTCAGACTGTCAGGTAAATGACAAACATAGTTCAACTTTGTCAAGGCTTGAAACATTGCTCTGCCTCTGTTATGGGCTTTAACCCCTTAAGGACACGACATGTGTGACATGTCATGATTTCCTTTTATTCCAGAAGTTTGGCCCTTAAGGGGTTAAAGGGGACACTGACAAATTGCTGGAATATTTATTGATTCTACTATTGGACTGGTGTTTGGGTGAGACCAGTCTTCTGTGCAACCCCCAGGGAATGTTCTGTTTAATTTTTGTGGTAATAACTACTTATCTGAAATAGACCGTCCCTTGTTCGCATATCCCTTTTATGTTAGGGGTTCTCAACAGGATTTCTTTCTAAATAGTGGGTTTAAAGTTTGGAGGATAGTTTTTCAATATGCATGCTAAATACTAGATTGTGAACAACCAAATATCAATGAGTATATATAAACTGAATGTTTTTTTTTTTTTTTTAAATTTAAACTAACAAAGCTTTGTTTTCAGCAACAAAAAAATATAATTTTTTTTAAAGAGACACTGTAGTCACGAGAACCACTACAGCTTAATGTAGTGGTTCTGGTGTCTTTAAAGCACAAAAAAGAGACAATGGAGGAATGCTTAAAGGACCACTCTAGGCACCCAGACCACTTCAGCTTAATGAAGTGGTCTGGGTGCCAGGTCCCACTAGGATTAACCCCCTTTTTTTTTTTTTTAATAAACATAGCAGTTTCAGAGAAACTAATAAGGTTAATCCAGCCTCCAAATCCTCTAGAGGCTGTCTCATTGACAGCCGCTAGAGGCGCTTGCATGATTCTCATTGTGAAAATCACAGTGAGAACACGCAAGCGTCCATAGGAAAGTAGGAATCGACAGATATTGATTTTTTTTTAGAGCCGATACCGATAATTTGTTAACTTTCAGGCCGATAGCCGATAACTTGACGATATTCTGTACATTTACCATTTTGAAAAAATAAACTATTTCTAAAAGGTAAATGCACAAAATATAAAAGCCACATGCACTGGATGCAGTGTGTTTAGACAGTGGAGCGGTGTATATTTGTGTAGTGTGTATATATAATGAATGCAGGGTGTGTTTGTGTAGTGTGTATAGTTAATGCAGTGACTGTAGTGTGTATATAATGAATGCAGAGTGTGTGTTTGTGCAGTGTGTGGTGTATAAAGGGAATGCAGTGTTTAGCGTGTATAGCGAACGCAGTGTGTGTATAGCGAACGCAGTGTGTGTATAGCGAACGCAGTGTGTTTGTATAGTGTGTGTATATAATGAATACAGTGTGTAGTGTTTGTAGTGTGTGTGTATATATGATGCAGTGTTTGTAGTGTGTGTGTATATATGATGCAGTGTTTGTAGTGTATATAATGCAGTGTGTGTATATAATGTAGTGTGTGCATTAAACACACACACTGCATTATATACACACACACTACATTATATAGACACACTACACTATATACACACTGCGTTATATACAGAGTGTGTAGAGTGTGTGTGTATATAATGCAGTGTGTGTGTGTGTTTTCCTGAAGGGATGTGATTTGGGTAAAATGGGGGGGGGACATTTTTTTTATTTAAATTTTTAATGTTTGTTTTATTTTTTAATATTTATGTTTATTTTAATATTTATGTTTATTTTAACTTTTAATATTTATTTTTATGCTTATTTTTAATATTTATGTTTTATTATTTTTGTTGTCCCCCCTCCCTGCTTGTTACCTGGTCAGGGAGGGGGGATTTGACAGTCCCTGGTGGTCCAGTGGCATTGGCTGAGCTGAGGGGAGGGCCGCAGGTCTCACGAGAGTTACACTGGGGAGCTGGAGGAGCTGCAGGGGAGGTAAGTAAACGCTACCTGCGGACCCCCCCCTAGGACCGCCGGGCTTGTAATGAGCCTGGTGGTCCTAGGAGGTATTATCGGTATCTGAATTGGCCGATACCGATATTGCCGAAAATACCGAATATCGGCCGATTTATATTGGTCGATCCCTATAGGAAAGCATTGTAAATGCTTTCCTATGAGACCGGCTGAATGCGCGCGCAGCTCTTGCCGCGCGTGCGCATTCAACCGAAAGGGAGGATTGGAGAGGAGGAGGAGATCTCTCCGCCCGGTGCTGGAAAAAAGGTTTTTTTTTTTGTTTTTTTAACCCTTTCCTCTCCCCAGAGCCGGGCGGGAGGGGGACCCTGAGGGTGGGGGCACCCTCAGGGCACTATTGTGCCAGGAAAACAAGTACTTTCCTGGCACTATAGTGGTCCTTTAATAACCAAACAAAAAAGTGGGGAGGCAGCACACCTGAAATTAGGAGAGACCCTCAAAAATTCAAATGATAAAGAGTAAAAAGTAAAACAATGCGTCAGGAAATATAATATTAAGCACAGATAAAAACTAGTTATGATACTTTGAAATGTTAAATAAGGATATAAATCTGTACATTAAATAAAGTCCAATAATTATATGAGGAGGTATAAAATAAATACACTTTAAGGGAAACCGAACACAGCAAAATAGAACAGAAGATCCATTGGTGCAGCATATGGTCCTTATGATTGTTTGCTCACATTTATTAGAGCTAAAACCAGCTCTATTGTATATAGCGATAGCTTTATTTAAAAAAAAAAAAAGTGAAAATATTTTATCCATAGTAATAAAATAAATATTCTAAAGCCATGTGTGGTGACACGTGTTGTAAAAATTTATGCTATGCTTGGAGGCGCTGAATGTTCCCCATAGAGATGTTAAGTGGCACAGCTCGTTGTTTTGCCACGCATGCGCAATACGCCTCCCAATGTTTTCTCATGGGAAAGCATTAGATTGGCTGAAATCATCAAGATTATCTCAGCCGCGGAGAGACTGGTAACAGACACACTCACATACATTTCCTCACACACTCACAAATGTTTTAATTTATGTCAATCCAGCCTCCGTAACTTTGGAGAGTTGGAGTGGATCCTTTCCGTTGGGTCCCTTGTGGCTGCTTTGCTCCATCGTGCACTGTTTATTGATGCCAGTGCTGGAGTGGCATCATATTCAGGCTCCCGGCATTACTGCAGGACCTGCATGGGGGCAGAGCAAGAAGATTACAGCTTCCTCGTTGCACTCCTCCACAGTCGCCGAGCTGGCTGCCTCTGAGGGAACGGGCTGACAAATTCCAGTAGAGAATCCTTAGTTGCCATGGCGATCTGGCGCCTGGGATAGGCTATTCATTAACAGAACACTCCACTTCCCAAACCCAAAATAAAGAAAAAACTATGTGTAGTAGATACACCCCAATGAAAACATGCATGCATTTATTATTGCATTTTTTTCATTAGGGTGTATCTAAAAACAGCTTGCAAGAGCTGCAGATATTTAAAAAAGAAAACATACTTTTCTCACATTAAAGGGACACTATAGGCACTGTGGTGGACCGCCTAGCACCCTGACTGGGTGCCTCCGCCAGTCGCTTCCTAGTGCTTACCGAGTACCACATGCACTGTACCAGACACCATCAGCACTGTAGTCCCCACTTCCAGCGTTACAGCTTGGTTCGGGTCTCGCTGTCCTCCACCCACCATGGACCCAAGACCAGGATCCAGCTTCCAGTGAGACGATCTCTCCTCCAAGAGAGCGTAGCAATATGCTCTTAAAAGAGCAAGTGATTGTAATCCCAGGGTAGTATAGTGATATAGCAATCCCCGGAGTAGATACAGCCGTTTCCCCCACACATGAGATGACTCTATGTTGAGGGTAAGTAGGAACTCCTTTATTGGTAGCCACAATGTCCTTATATGCAGGTCCCCATGCAAGGGGCACCTGAGAGTAGACTACAGTAAAAACATACACACGATTACATTGGCTCTCAGGTCCAGGACACTCCCACATAAAACAAGATAATCCCTCCTCTGTGCCTGGGAGATAATTGAGTCAGCCACTGTATTAAATGCCATTATCTCCAGGCACAGAAAACATAATTTTTTACAAACCCCCAAAAATACCTTTAAACACACAAAACCCCCACAAAAAGTTACATCCCCTGATAGCCCAAATCTGGGTGACAAACATATCCGAAAATCATTCAGATCGATTTAGTAGTTAAGGAATTTCATGGAAGTCATAATTTGACCGACCGCACGCATAGTCCCATGCCCAAAACAATTCCAGAGAATCAAGGCTTGCGGTCGGTCTAGTTCGGTAGTTTAACCCCTTAAGGACACATGATGTGTGACATGTCATGATTCCCTTTTATTCCAGAAGTTTGGTCCTTAAGGGGTTAAAAACCGAACAAACTACCAAACATAGTCCATATTCTTACCATGGAACTTGTTCCCCTCATCCAGACGAACAATTCCACGAACAGTGTCCTTCTAAATCGTATAGAACCGAACGCAGGCGATGATGAAAATCCAGCGGTGTTCGGGAATTTGTGTGTCCAATTTTAGTTCCAGGAACCCAACGACCAAACACTGCAGACTGGCCGCCATCTCGTGGTAGTTCATGCGAACAGCAGCCACCCAAATAGACAATTAGAGCACTGCGGTTAGAATCTTTACTCAGTGTTAATAGGGTTTAGCATGCTCCCGGGTGATCTCTGGTTCGTGCGGCTGTTCGGGAACCGAACCACATAATCCCAATTGCACAAACGGAGCCTTTTTAAAGTATTTTAGCCAGGTTTATTGCAGGCGGTCATAGTCTTTTGGCAAGAGGCGTGCCAGCAGGCCCCTCCAAGAGCCCGTGGCGAGGTTAACCTCGCCACAGGAACCCAAACCACTTCAGCTCATTCAAGTGGTCTGGTGCAGTGTTCCTGTCTCCCTTAGTCCTGCAATGTAAATCAGTGCAGGTTTAGAGTTACTGTAATGTTTAAATTGCCGTACTAAGACGGTCTCTAGAGGTACTTCCTGCAGTTTCACAGGGTTGACTCTGAAACCATGCTGGATGTCCGAATCCGCAATGCTTTCCTATAGGAAAGTACCGAGGGGGGCCGTGACCCAGGCTGAGGGATCTCGTCAGTGTAATAATTGAATAAACGGTTATTTAGTCATTTCAACTATGGGAGCGGGCAGAGGAACATTGTGGGTGTTAACAGTGTTTCTCTAACTTTGTGAATACTATGTAATCAAAGGTTACTACTCCACTAACCCACAAATGTAAAGAATATAAACTAGGGTGTTTTGTTAAACCAGAAAATATTTGTACAGACCCAATTATGCAGAAAATGGAGAGAAGTTGGAGCACTTGAGACAAATAGGATCCACTCACTTAACCCTGCAATAATAAAATGCAATAATTATCTTTGAAGATTAACTCTACCTCTTGTGGCGTTCTACCAGACAGCCACTAGAGGGACTTTTGGATTGTTAGGGGACTTTTGGTCACCTAACTGACGCCAGACGTCCTCACGCAATACATGAGGACATCCTGCATCACCTGAAACCCCATAGGAACGCATTGTATAATGCTTTCCTAAGGGAGAAGTCTTAATGCGAGCGAGGCCATTGGTGTTTCCCAGGCGGCTGACAGCAGCGGGGGAGGAGTGGAGTGCCGAGGGACTTTGGAGCTGGATTTGAATAAGTGCAGCGGGGGGGCATTATAGGAAGTTATAGTGCCAGGAAAACAACTTTGTTTTCCTGGCACTATCGTTACCCTTTAAGTACTTTATCTTAATTAAGTTGTTTTGGTAGTTCGTGTTCCTTGAAATGTGATGGAAATAAGTTTTAGTAAATAACATTTATCCTGGCTATTTTACTTTAAGAAGATACCATGGACAACCTTCATAAGCATCTCCATGCAGACACTGAACGGCAGGGCTGCTTACTGTGCACTGTGGCCACTTGGAGGTGTCCCTAGGGGCAATGTAAACACTGCATTTTCTCTGAAAAGACAGAGTTTACATGAAAATGCCTGAAGGGAGCTATTATACTCACCAGAACAACTACATTAAGCTATAGTTGTTCTGGTGATTTTAGTGTCCTTTTTAAATATGTTTTTGTGTGCAAAATCAACCACATATGAATGATTGGGAGCTGGTTGCATGTGGACATGAAGACATCCACAGTAGAGACGTACTGGATACCGCACTCACCAAATAACTCAGGTGCTCCGAAGCCAGGGCTGGCCAGTCCTCCCTTCCAAGATATGCAGAATAAATAATTGTTCAGGTACTCTGGGATAACAAAAATAGCAGCTTAAATGGGGCAAAAGCAGCATTGTTTTGACCCTTGATTGAGATCCGGTAGGGTCGAAACGTTGCTGCTTTTGCCCCAATAATGCTGCTCTTTTTGTTATCCCAGAGTGCCTAAACCGTTATTTATTCTTCATATCATGAAGACGTCCACAGACACAAATGGAAGTATTTGTGGCAACACTGTAGTCAAGTGACTGATTTGCATTTATTTTTAGTTTGTATGGCTTGAAGAAGATCTAATATCTTCTGGGAGGCTATTCCGCCATTGCTGAGCCCTGTATGAGGACGCTCCAAAACCAC